TTAAAATACAGCAACAATATGATTTAGTTTGAAAATATAAACTGATTTAAAAGTGTACACCTACTTACTTTCAAACCCCTACTTTTAATAGATCTAAAGGAACATGACAACATACCTTAGTGTAGCAATGACTTGTTTTACCATAATTCTTCAATTTTAGTCAAGCCTCTTTACATGAAGCTTACTATATAAATTACAAAATGAAACTTTGAGCAATACTTTCCAAACGTATACAGCCTTTCTTTAAAACCAAACATAACCCTCCTCAATCTACAGAAAGCATCACAAACATATTTTTCGAGTAAACAAACAAACACCAGTTCATTGTACTGACCAACTGTTTCATTAACTAAATTAAATCATTTAAACTTTGGAAGCATGCCAGGTGTAACCCTTTGGAAATCAGCCTGTGGGACAGAGCCCTTAGGATATTCGTCCATATCAATACTTTACGGCAAATCTACACACTCTATGCTTAATTTAGATGTGCCATATGCCTATATTTTTATTTGGCAAATGACCTTGACCGTTAACATAAAATTTTATTGTATCACTTTAATAATATAATAGATAATAGATTTGTGTCCATGCCAACTTTTCACATACATTTATAACATCCTAAATAATATGGTAAACTATTTTGAAGAATGCCTGATGACTTATGCCGTAAGAGCAATTTTGTTTGTTACATTATTGTTGAAGGCAAATGAAAACAAAATAATGTCACAAAATTATGTATATATTAATTCATTTTACTACACAAAGTTGTTTGTTTATACATATTGCAAGAAATTGGACTGTTTATTACTACTGTTGGCATTTTTATTTTATTGAAGAATAACTCAGAAACTAATAAAAAGTTTATAACATGTGTAAATAAATGTCATAAAAAACTGTCACAAAAATGTAAACTATCTTACTCATCTTTTCTCATACTAACATTTTTCTTGGATCTCAAATTGGGGGGGGGGGGTCCTATTTTACAACTAAATGCAGCCGCCACAGCAAACCTGCCAACTTGGCGAATTTCCATTTGTCTGAATTGATTTTCAATTAAATCTATTTAAATAACACTACGTAGGTTTAACAAGTAACTTATATTGGAGTACCAATATTCTCCATAAATATAACATGGGAATTTCAAATTTACAATTTTTTGAATTTTCTCCGTTACCAATAACCGTACAAAAACACTTTGATATACTAAATTATTTATATTTTTAAGCTCTTAAGGGTCTAGAGAGAAATTGGGAAATTTGTGTTTTGAGGGTCAAAAATGAGAAAAACCTATTAAAACCGTTCCCATGGTCATCTGATCATGCTGGTTAGCGAACTCATTCAAGTTTATCCCACCATACACCTTTAAACCAAATTTCATCAAAATCTTATAAAAACTACTCGAATTATCGCGGTCACGGACACATACAGGGTGGCTGAAAATTAGCTTGCGCCCCCCTTAACTTTTGAAATATTTAAAATTGGTTTGCGGCAACCAGGTGTAGGCACATGACCCAGGCTGTAATCCTCTTAATCACGGTCGGTTGACCTGTCAGTTCTAGGTTGGAGTCGAATGCTTCTGCATCATACCGTGCATAGCCGAACTGTTCGCGGCAAATTGTTAGCTCGATAACCGTCGCTGTCAAAACGTATCGTTTGTAGGTTAAATTTAAATTTAATTTAACTGTCATAACCTAACCAAACTTGCTGATAATGAACAATCGTTCTTTTCAATAGTTCTTTTCATAAAATAAAATGACAAATCCCTTAAATTCAATTTTATAATTTTTTAATTATAAAATTAAACTGTCATAACCAAACCAACCAAACTAATAAAAAACTGATAATGAAAAAATCGAATGAAGGTTTACTAATCGAAAAATAGTTCTGATCATAAAATTATAAATGCCTTAAATTCTAACAAAAGATGTACAGTTAAGAAGTAATCGCATTCTAAGCGAAATCTTTGACAAAAAGTTAACCCTCCGGTGGGATTCAGAATTCTCGATTACCCTCCCCTCCTCCGGTGACCACTACCCTCAGGCCATAGATCAGGGGATTAACCCAAACAAAGATCTGGGCCGTCTCCCGCGGCAACCTTCTTATAAATGAGGGGCTGCAATAAGTTAATTATGGTTAATTATTTTGTCCTTGTGGTGGTAAGGGGGTAGCTCAAAATTTTCAAATAGAAAGTATGGTTAAGTTTGGTATCATTTTACAGGTCTTGATAAAAATAAACAATTAACATAAAGAAAATAGAAATCAGACCACTAATAACAAAATGGCAGTAAAAAACTACTTTTAATACCGGTAACCATTTGTCTTGATAATCTTTAGCTGGCATTTTGTTATTAGTAGTCCGATATATATTTTCTTATGTTAATTGTTTAATTTTATCAAGACCTGTAAAATGATTATAAACTCGATTATAATTTTTATTTGAAAATTTTGAGCTACCCCCATTGAAGGGCAAAATATTGAAAATCAACCATCATTATTGTAGCCCTTCATAAGAAGGTTGCAGCAAACCAATTTCAAATATCCAAATGGTTGAAAAGTTAAGGGGTGTGCAAGTTACTTTTCAGCCACCCTATTATAACTCTATATACATATATACAAATTTGAACAAAAAATGGGGTTTTTGGCCTCTGGGGACATCAAAATAAAAAAGTAAATCGGTCCCAGGCCTAGGTCTTACCTACTGTAATATTTCTCATAGGGAAATTCGCTAAAATTGCAATATTTCAGCCATTTCCTGTTTGATCTTTTTGAACTTGGTATCGTTTGATAGGGAATTAAAAATGCTAAATAAAAGTGTTCCCAAACTTTTGTCATAAATCAGTCATATTTTAGAAATTAAAGTTTAAAAAATTAAAATGGCTGATATTTTGAAATTTTTAGTTGAATCAAGATGATTTTTTTTCCTAACATGGGTCTCTATTATCTTAACATACATACAAAGTTTCATAAATATCGGTTGAAAAAATTCAAAGGTAAAAATGTTTATGTAAAAAATACAAAATGGCGGATATCTGGTTAACGAAGCAATTTTGGAAAAAATGTTGACCCAAAGAATCATTACGTAAATTATGTCCCCACCTTTTTTGAACAAACTGTATAAAAAAGATGTTACAATACCAATCCATTTTGACCAGTTTGACCCGGTCATCATGAGACCAAATTGAAACCAAGAAACTCTAGTCTAAATGGCATCTTTAAGTAAATATTATTGGTTAAAAACCTGAAGTTTCAAAAACAAATCCTGATGACAGAATCAAATTTGTATACAGATGTTTTACGGGCAAATCGTGGTGGTGAGGATTACTGGGCTGAGCAGCTAGGTTTCCAAATAAACCACTCGACTTGCTCTCAACTGACCTCTTTTTACCGGCTCACCTCCATGTGACCAAGCGAGTGGCAACTCACACATTGTCTCGCCTGATGTACTCGACCCGGCTTTAGGCTGCTTTCCATTAAACCTCAGAAAATTACATAACTGAAATGTTTTGTTTCCACCCCTGACAGGACAAAGGTGAAAAGAAAGTGTCGACAACTAACCAGATGTAAAATGTATTTTAAAAGTAATATTGAATTATGTACACAATAGTGATACTACTGTATCTTTAAGTTATTCAATATATTATGAATTACTGTTAATACATTAAATATAAACAAATCACTTAAATAAGACACAGATGTCTACTAGTAATCTAGGTTTCTAGAACAGTTTTATTAAAAATTCACATAGATGTACTATTTACAAAATATTTTACAAGCAGGCCTCAGTTTTTCCCAGTTGTACTTTTTTGTTTTATATTCAAAATATAATTTAAAATCTGTTATATATTCGCAGTAAAATAATTTAGAGTGATCGTCACACATTCTTCTAATGTCAACACCTTTAACGACTATACCTAAACAAATTAATGAGATCAAGTTTCATATAGCCCTCTCAATATTGTGGTAACTTTAATAAAATCATGTGAGTAATTTAATGCTTTGAAAACCAACCTTTAACCATACTAAATATTCAACTTTTTACTGGAAATAATTTACTGGTATACAATACAGAAAATAAATTGTTAAGAGTTCTTGAAAAAGATTCCTATAAATCTTCATATATTTTCCAACCAACTTTTAACGTTAACTAGCTTTTGGTAAAAATAAAATTATAACCATATTTGAGAAATTATTACAAGGTACAAATAAAATAATTTGGAATTTGTCTTACCTGTTTTTGTGGCTTTGTGGAAAGATTTAACTCATAAAAACAACTAATTTGTTTTGGATCTTGACAATTTGGATTGGATAAAAACTACTAACATATTATATTCTTTAATTAAGAAAATTATTTATTATTTCCCTTATGATTGGTTGTCTGGCTGCACAGTGGTAAAATATAGAATTGCCAAACTAAAGTTGATTTGATAGACAAACTTAGAAGTGAATGCTTTTATTATTCTTTGTTGAGCCTCTAGTTAAGATGGATAATATTAATATTACAACTGAAGGTTTAAAACAAATAAATTCTGTAATTCCAAGAAAATATTGATATTATGCTTATTTTTGATGTGTGTTGTCTGTAACCAAAAGTATTTTTACGTGGTTTTACTGCCTATAGAACCGTTTTTATTAGAGAAATTGAAAAATTTACATACAACACAACTGATATTGAGCTAGATCAGACATTGACTTTATATACAGATCAAATGACAATCCATTTAAAACTGTATATTCAGAAAATTAAACTTCAAAAAAAATTTTCATCCATCTTCTGAACACCCAAACCCGCCCCACACTCCAAATACTTTAAAATTTCAACAAGATTATACACATTATATTCAAGCTAAATAATTTCCACTACTTTCGCGAGCTCAATAATATATTTACTTTGGCAAACAGCAGTCAATTTACACATAACTCTAGAGTGACTTGAACCGTGCTGCTAAAGTTCTGTTATGACTGTGTCATAACCGATATAAAAGTGTGTGAATAATAAACAATTGTTAAATTATCTTAAGCTTTTTTATTACTACGATTAAAGAGCATTATGCACAACACCAAGAAAAACCGTCAGCTACAATATCTGCATTGGTTTTGTACATTTTAAAGAACAAACAGAGACAAATCGTTCTAGGCCAATATTTACAAGATGGAGCTTACAAATTTGTTTGCCCGAGTGTTGGGAATGTGATATTTACCAGCCCAGCCCAACACAACGAGTTTAACAATAAACATCTTATAGCTAATAACAACACAATCTTGGATTAATTCTAAAAACATCATGCCTGTAAAAAAAATTGGTCACACTTTGGTGGGTTGATGTACACAATCCTCATACTGGCTAATTTTGAAAATTAAGATACCTTCTAGATCTGATTCATCTAGCTATACTTACAGTTCACGTTTAGTTTAAAGTACTCAATATTATTGATAAATAATCATTCACGGGTTCAGATAAGTCAAAACATTTTCTGTGTTAGTTAAACCTATTAAAGCTTCAACTCATCAGTAGTTTTTTGTTAAATTTACTGAGTAATGTGCAACACCAAGAAATCCCACAAGCTACAATATCCGCATTGGAAACAAGTTATCTTCTGGTAAGCATGATTAAAAAACTACAACTAATTCAACAATGAACAGAATTATTTATTAAGACCTACTTCATTTATTGTATGCCAGCTACATTTCCTTAAGGTCGTCATTTTTGTTTGATCTACTGTTTGGATCAAGTTCGTCATTTTGAGTAAACAATTCCTCCAAGGATTAAAGCAGGTGCAGAACACCCATCCAACCTTGAGAAGAGCAATGTTTACTGGATAACCAAATTGATATTTTTCAACAACGTTGATTACTGATCTTTTCTGTCTTTCCAGATGCAGCATTAGTCAATGGTAACTGTGTTAATTTCACCTATAGTCAAGTTTAACATTAAACTACAAAATACTCGACATAAAAAAAAAAAATGATTAATGTATTGAGTAGTAGTTGGATGTTGAAAATGTTGTGTTTGACTTTTCCGTTTGAGAAACAAAATCTTGTATCTTAACCTGATAATAAAGCTATGCTTTAGAAATGCTGACTATTGACTAATGTTCGAGCTGATGAGTCTGAAAAGGTTAGTAATCTAGATTGTTATAAATATAATTGATTTTGTACCATTTTGTTTTGGAATATATTTATGAATTTGAGGGCTAAACTATTTAGGGAGGAATATATAAATGAACAATGATAAACCTGGACCTTCGTAACAAAGCTCAAAAGAGCATGTATCTATACTTTTTAAATGTTTACTCTAATGGCTTAGTCAATCCAAACAGTGGACAGCTTCAAAAATCGTAAATGTAATTAACGGAAAGTAGATAAAAATATGTATAGTTACGTATGCAATTAACTATGAAAAATGTTTAATAAACAATATTTCTTAATATGAAAACCCTTTTTTATGCATCTTATATCTTTTTACAATAATAATGACGATGTCAATTACAATAATGTATTGTTTAAAGACTGAATAAATGACTATTCAATGACTATGATAGAATAGTTCATTAATAAAGAACCATATTACTTTTTTTTCTGAGGTAAGTCGTAACTCGTATGTTATGTTTATACATCAAGAGAAGTAAGTTTTTTTATTATTTCACCATGTTTGCTGCTGTGCCATAAAGAGGATTTACCAGGAAATTTACACCATTTGGTAGCTGAACCAATAATTAGAATGCATTGCTTGCATTCCAAACTAGAACTCTGTCCTTCCCTGCTAACCATAATGAAGTTGCCAACAGGAAACTAGTTGGCATCTGTCATAATTAAATCAAAAATTTCAATCTGATGCTAACAATAGTGATCAGCAACATTATTACTATCATATTTAGTACTAACAAAACCACCAAAGTGTGAGATTAGAAATAAACCAAGACCTTAAAAAAAGTTTGTTAGTGTCTATGAATTAAAAAAATGAAGTTGAAACATCTGTTAGTATGATTAATAAAAAAATAAATTAAAACAAATTAACATAAGAACACTAAATCACAGAACTTGCCTTAACTATTTGTTTCTCATTAAAAAAATACAACACTGAATTTATTGCCCATCTTATAAATACTGTTGCTGAATTACACTTACAACTTTACATTTCTTAACCTCAAAACTTATGCATTATGTTATTACAAAAATAATAAAATAAATCTTAAAGCTGAAAAAAAAAGTTTGTACTCTACTTAAAACATATTGTATGAGATTACAATAATTCAGAAAGCACCTACATTCACCGGGCGAAACCAATTTCAATCTTACATTAAAATAAGGTATGAATAATCTTTGATTGTGTAAACATTTAAAACTTGAAACTGGTTTCGTAAAATTATGTTCTCACGAAGGTCAACAGTTAGTGATCTAATTTAGATTTCAAATTTATCACGATTAACATTATTTAAATCAACTCGAATTGTGTGTTTTTTTACAAAAAGATAAGTTAAGCTAAATATTAGCATGTGACCTTTATGAACATAATTGGTGCTAAAAACATTAAAATTTATGTTTTATACATCTCACAATGTAATTATCAAACACCTATATAGCAATCCTATATACAGATACTTGGAAACAAACAACATGTACAATGTTTCAATGTACACTAATTTGCTCTATGCACAATAAAACTCGTCTCTATTTTTCAAATTTTATTTTTTAATAAAAAAATAAAGAACGATATAAATAAAACCATTTTTACACTTTCTGTACATGGGGTTGAAGGAAGGATTACAATTATTATGTGATGATTTATGTATTTACAATAGCCATTTCTGTACACATTTCTCTTGCCTTCTTACTAGCGTTACTGGTTGTACTGCTTGGTATATGTCACTAGACCGATTACATAAGTACATCAATGTCTGCAACGGTCCTGAAAACAACTGGCCTTGTTAGCCACCAACAAGATGGAATCTTAATTATATTCCTGTAAGGTTACAATATTCACAATTATTTTATTACATGGCACTATAGCAAAATTACTTATGAAAATACTATTAAAAGATATATCTAAAAACATGCTTAGGGATTATTAATAAACTGATAGGTAAAAATAAACAAAAATAAATGTTTTCTAAAAACCAAATATGCAGCTAAATCTCACAAATTATAATCATTCGCTGTAAAGGTTTATATAAAAAGGTCTTCTGATACACAGAAATTGGTTTTAGTAACCATTAGTAAGACTTTTCTGTTTTCTCATTCTTACCAACTAGAAACAGATAATAGAGAAGTGCCTCAGTGTCAATTGAAAAATCCCAAGATAAAATTACAGGATCAACCTTAACAAAGATGAATGGGAATTTATGAAGATAAGTTTAGACTTTACCTTCGTATGAGGATGAGAAGGTAGAGGACAGGAACTTTTTCTGGGTCGAAGGTAAGGTAAACTTCAGTAACTGGAATATTAAAAAAGTGTGTTAAATATCTGCAACTGGAAAATTTAACAAATAAATACTAGTGTAATAAACATCTTTATGCATGAACACTATGCAAAACAAGTTATAATTATAAAATCAACAATATTTCAACAACAAACAGTTCCAGACCTAATGCTGGTAGTAAGAGGAGCCAGGGTTGTAGAAGGGTGTGGGTGCTGCAGTGGCTGGGGGGTAGCGGTTAGAGTACATTGGGTGCCCCACTCCGGGGAAGTAGAGAGGTCCGTAGTGAGCAGGCGGATCTGCTGGTGGTGGGGGAGGTGGAGGTGGCACCATTTTCTTACCCAACTCCTTCTCCTTCTCTTGTTTATTCAGAGAGTCGATATTTGCTGAAACAAATTAATCAATGCTAATACAGAAATAAAACTTCTAATAAAATTGAATTGTAAGAATTTATTTTGTAATAGCAGGCTTACTAGGATAGGAAAGAGTCAATTTTTGTACAAAAAACACAACAATTCAACAACTAACAACTAAAGACAATTTGTTCCATTGTTACAACTACTTGGTGGAAAATGCTGTCAGTGAAGAAATAACTTATGATTTTTTTTCTCTTCAAGGAAATTCTCTAGGTCCTCTCTAGGCCAGGATTTTTAATTATAAAATAACGAGGTAAGCTAGCTCTTAATATGGTGTACATAACGTTAAGTTGGCAAGTCGGTAGGGCAGCAGACTAATAAAACAAGGCAGCAATGTCGTGGATTTGCCAAATAATATCAACATGGATGTTGCGACCAATCATGGTTGCTCTTCTGTTGCTTTGCTTTCCACGCAAAGATCAGAGGCATATGTGGACAGGCGAATACAAAAAAGATCATTATGTGTCTTGTGCCAAGGTAGACTCTTTTCAATTCAATTTTGAATTGTAGAAAAAGGAGGATAGCAGCTAGCTTACCTTCAAAGTGTAAGTAGGCCATAGAACATGTAGAAAAACACTGTACATGTTCTATGGCCTACCTACTCTTTCAAGGTAAGCTAGCTGCTATCCTCCTTTTCCTACAATTCAAAATCCTGGCCTAGAGCCTATCCTTGAACAAAACTGATCTTTTCAATTCAAGCAAGCCTACTATCCTAACAAAAACATCCAAAACCTAGGCTGATACCCTCTGTTATATAATAAAGTGAATTGTTTGAAAACTAGTATGTCAGAAAATAACTTAGCTACAGACTTTTCAGAATTAATTTTATCACTATTTGCTGGAATTACTGATTTTCCTTTAGTGAACATCATTTAACCCTCCGAGTGTCCATAGTTTAGGCCTTAATGCCCGCCTATTTTTGGCGCATTTGCAAGGTTTTATTAAAACGGATCTGAAAAGCTTAAAACAATGTTAATTCTATTGTTCTATATACCATTTTGTTTGGAAAATCATGGGCTTCAATATCATACATAAAACCTAAGGAATATTTGTTTCAAAAAAAACTTTTTAGGTAAAAATAAAAATTATTTTGGAAAAATTGAGAAAAAATAAGTTTGCGCTCAATGAAATTGTATAAATTATAGGCCTATAAATATTTGAAAATAGCCACTTTGTTCTAAATTTTATGAGGATTACAAATATATAATAATATAAGGAAGTAGATTTGCAAATAAATAAGTTATGGGCAAAAAACAGATTTCAGTACATAGCGTTTAGCTAAGAATGCATAGCCTAACCATAGCTAGGAATCTGGCTGATAATTTGCATCAATATCACTACCTACTTCTTCAGGATCATCAACCAGCCCTTCAAAATCACTTAAATCTTCTTAAAAGCACCATGTATATCAATACTTTTGATTTTTAACACTAAAACAATGATAAACATAATAAAACACATCAGTCATCGGTCCGAGGTTAACTAACCTGTTTACAAATACGCACGTCAGCTGTCTGCTACAATTACGATCGGCTCGGAGAACATAAAGCGCTTAGAGACAGACCTCTGGAGAAAGCTTAGAATCTAACGAAAAGAACGATACCTAACTCGATCCAGTTCAATCCGATTTTGTCAGTCATAGAGCCTTCGCCGTAAACAGTGTTCGTGAGTCGCTGCAGCGACGCATGACACTCGGATGGTTAAGAACATTTTGAATTTTAAATGGAACATGTTTGTAAATGCTATCAAATTAAGATTGATTTTTATATATTTTTGTTCTCGTATGAATCACATTTTTGGGTAAAATTAATTTATAATTCTACTGAACAATCAATGGTCAAGATTTTTTTCAAAGGAGGCAAAAGAGTGGCTGTGGTGTGCAGTTGAATTTCACTACTTCTTTTAAAGAAGCCTCCATGAAAGGGCCAAATGTTAATTAACTTAACTAAATAATTATAATAATTATTTATCAACTGCTGATCAACTGGTACTTTTCTTGGATTAGTTTCCATTTCTTCTAGTACAGTAGTACCTAGTAAGAGATTAACTCGTTTTTTTAAATCAGATCTACATGTACAGACTTTTTAATTCTTGAACAATGTTTAAAACCACAAACTTATTGAGTATGTTAAACTTCTTACCTTGCTTTCTGGCCTTCTCTTGCTCCTCGTCATCACTGAGAAACAGTCCAAACTCCCTTTTGAGTCTCTGGGTCAAGTTTTCACGTTGGCGTTCAACCAATGTCGGGGCTGAACTAAAAATATTATTCGTTGGAGCTGCAAATTAAACAAAATCGAAGTTATAAAATTTGTTGTTGTTTTAAAAATGGGTTTATGTCAGGGGTTTTAAGGATTTTGTGGTGGATAGGCAGGCTTGCCTTACAGATTAAAATGCACAAATAAACACATAAAGCCTCTTCAGCAACCTACAAGAACAAAGAAAGACTCTACTACTGAAGGAGCTTGTAGCTCTGAAAACTAAACATTATTTGTGCAAAATCATCAAGGTAGAACATTTTAATGGGGGTAAAAACGTAAACTGCGAATAAATTAACACCGGAACTTGCCAGTTTTTATCCACAATAGCCAACTCCTAGGCCTACCTAGGTGGTGGGCTATGGGCCAGAGAACGTAGGCCTAGTTTTAATCACAGTGCCTCCTTGGAGAGGAGTGTTAGTCAACAGGCGATGTTACAACATCGTGCTAGCCCGGTCTTGGTATTGGCTGCCGCCAACTGCAGACTCTCGTACATTAGTTATGATGTTTAGGAATTAGAAAATTATAAAGGCAAAATTAGGCTGTTCAACCAGGTGCCAGTTGTGTAAATAGCAGTCTACAGCTTGGAGAGGCAAAATACTAAATGAAGTAAGGCCTAATGAACTTTTTGGGTCTTAAGAGGAAAAAAATGCTTAAAGTCAATGTATATGTGGCATTTATACTTACGTTTTTTAGCAAGGTTGGTATCCAAAGCCGCCTCTAACATTAGAGACTTGGCAATGACAGTTTGAGGCTGAGGCTCCTCTTCATCTTCAGAAGATGATGAGGACATGGAGGAGGTGGCAGAGGTGGGGGGTGAGGAAGCTCCACCTGTCCCTCCACCACTCTTGCCTGTAGTTCCCTGCCCTGTGCCACTTCCCCCGCCTTGCTGTCTCCTCTGACGGTACTCTGATATTGAGAGCTGGAACAAAACAAGGACAAATCACAATATACAGAACATACAATATAACATACAATAGTTATTATTTTTATAACAAAGGCACACAAGATAATCAAATACCCAAAGACAAATTCCGCAGGGTCCTGTTCAGATTATTGCAATTTAATTAAACAATATTATACATAAAGTGAAATTATGTAAAAAAAAAAAAAAAAAAAAAAAACAAGAATTAATTCAAATATTATTTCAACTGTAATGGTAAAAATTTGGATAAAATTTGGAAAATTCATTTATTTTTTACTAAACTAATGACATTCTAAGTACTTGTTAAACTAATTCTATTTAAATAGGGACTAAATGTGATATTTTTAAGGAGTCATTTTAGTGTAAGTTCAATCAGGGAAATGGAAATTCGATTAGTCTGCAGGTTTGCTGCGGCGGGGGTATTATTTCAGTTAGCACATTCTACAGAAAAAAATTTTCACCCGAAATTTTAAATTGTAGAAAAAGGAGGATAGCAGCTAGATTACCTTGAAAGTGTGGGTACATAGAAAAAGTTAAAAAAACACTGTGCACACAATATTTCGTCCCCTAAGGGACTTTGCCAAGTGTAGAGAAAGAGTTTATAAATTACAAAAATCATTTTTGTACACTTTCTCTATACTTGACAAAGTCCCTTAGGGGATGAAATATTGTGTGAACAGTGATTTTTCTACTTGTTCTATGGCCTACCCACACTATCAAGGTAAGCTAGCTGCTATCCTCCTTTTTCTACAATTTAAAATCCTGGCCTAGAGCCTTTCCTTAAACAAAACTAACTTTGTCACCCGAAAGGAAGGAAGGAAGGAAGGGGAGTTCAACTCGACACATATTCTACCAGCTCTACAATGCAGTCTATGAATGGTATACAAACCTTGCGTTTTATGGCTGTCGCGGCAGCAGCTGCTGATTGCTCAGCAGTTTTAGTTTTTTTCACCTCGTCTTCACTGCCTGATGACCTGGTTTTTCTCCCTTCCTTTGCTTCGGTTTTACATTTCACCTGTCCTTCCTCTTTGACAGCTTCTTCTTTGACCTTAAAATCATCCTTCACGGTAGAATCTTCTTCTTTCACACAAACATTCGGTTTCAGTTGTTCCCCTTCTGATTCTTCTGTTTCTTCTTCCGCTTCCTTTTTAACTTTAGTTTTAGATTTTAAAGCTGGGGTTGGGGAATCAGGTCCTTCTGATTCCTGACTGCTTCCACACTGCAACATGGATAACCAAATAACCATTTATTCTATAAATCTTCAAGTTCTCAGAAATTCTTGTGTAAATTTTAAGTAGGTAGTATATAATTTGTCATCCTATGCTAGAAATCTTATTATAAATTAGAGTAAAGCGATTTAACAACATAATTGAATTACATTGTGATTAAAATTTTGTTTCCAATAGCCTATATAAATAATAGAGATGTGTCTATTCTCGATACCACTGATACTTTGACATTGGTATCGGTCAAAAGTTGATGTAAATATACCCTACATGTCTGGGAAGAAAGTGATCGAAAAATTACTGTCATGATCATTGATCACGCAAAACGATGATGACGATTTCATAACCGTGGGAGATGATCAGAATTTTGCCACAATCACAGAAAGCGACAATGATGTCCACACAACTGAGGGATCAGAATTTTTCCACGACAGCGGAAGACGTTGATAATGTCTACATGACCGTGGGAGATGTTCAATATTTTAGCAATTGCAGAAGATGTTAAGGTTTCCATGACTGCGAAAGACGATGATGTTACCATGACTGAGGAAGATATTCAGGATTTTATAGTGATTATGGCATATGACGATGATGTCTCCAGGACCACAGGCAGTCATCACGATATTACCTTGAGTTTACCTTGGTCGAACAACTCTGTATCGGTATAGGGAATCGAGAATCAATTTTTCAGGTATCGGTATTGAAAATTTAAAAAAAATTTTTGTATTGACACATCACTAATATATAATAATTGTAATAGCTTTTAGAATAAGAAAAATCTGCTTATCTAGGCGGAATGTATATGAAGTGATGATAACAAGAGGACAAAGGAAATGCATTTGATATTATTTAAATATTATTTAAAGAATACACCTGCCGCAGCAAACCTACAGGCTAAGCGAATTTCAATTTGTCTGATTGAATTTTGTCTATAATATTTCCATAAACAAGATATATTTATTCCCCATTTAAACACCATTCGATTTAATAAGTGATATTCAATATCCAATATCCCTAGAAGAGCATTTTTAATACAGTAAACAAAGAGAGTGAATAGAAAATGTGAATGAACAAACATTTAAGAGAACATAGATTGTGATGATTAGGTTGAAACAATCAACACTGAAGAAAATTGCTTGAGTGATGCGACTGACAGAACCAACATTGAAGAAAACATAGATTGAGTAACAGCAAAAAGGTTTCATGCAAAGACAGAAACCTACCACCTCATCGTGGCTCTCTTGAGCTGGCTTAACATTATCTTGAGGAGATGAGACTGTGTCCTCTTCATCAGTCATCTGTTGACAATATTGCAACTGTACTAAACAGTACAATTCGCTAGATTTTGAAAATTATAACATTGAGACTGTGGATTTAACTTTAAGTGTAAGTGCCACGTTTAACTGCATACCTTTCACATACCTTTATTCGTCAAAATTTACAAATATATAACTTGCAGTCTCAATGTTTTGTAAAGACTAACAAGTACCAAATTGAAAATATTTTTATTGTTTTGTAAATATATAGCAACAAATAAGGCCCTTGCAAATCTTCCTGGAATAAATTTATTTTCAAGTGGTTGTGTGTTTTGGGTGCAATGTAAATAACAATTTGTTAAGTGAACAGTTTTATTACTTTAAGGAGTTTTTCTGTAATAATTCAGCGGTTGCATAACAACTGGTTAGCCCAAATCAGTCAAACAGTAATAAGGTAAAAAGTGAGTACAGTAATTATTGATTCATGAACATTTAACTACCTGACTAAGAGCCTCGGCCGTGTGGGTAGGCGTGGTAGGGGGAGTGACGGAATGGTCCTCAGAGATGGACTCTCGAGCCATTCGCCTTTTCTTGGGCGGAGCTACATGTTCAGAAGGAGAGTTGGTCACGTCTGGAATACAAAATGCCACATGAAATGTAATCAAGAGAAACACGTCTACTAATATACTAAAAAAATCCTACAAATGTTCTTGCTTTCATTGGTTTTACTAGGTAGGCCATATAATTGCTCATTCCAGAGGTAGTTAACCCTTCAAAACGGTTTGACGAGACCCTCTCGTCATACTAACTCCCGCTACGTGGTGGCATCTGATGGCAATTATGTGAACTATTACGGGCTGAGGTTTATTGGATAATGTTGTCCATCAGTTTCTCCACCTACTACAGCTGTTTTCGATCGATAAAAATGTGCGAGAGAGACAGAGAGTGTTTACAATCTTGAGTGTCTTTGTGTTTGTCGACCTCGCATCACATGTTGTTGTGCAATAACGTTCACTCTTGTTTATTGTTGTAGTATCGTGATTTTTAAGGCGTAATGTTATGTTGATTCAAATTTAAGTTATTTATTAGTAAATCACAATATTAGTACGTTCATTTTAGTTTTGAAATGTGTTTTGTGTCGTGAGTTTGTGTGAAATGTGTTAGTGTGTTGGAGTGTCAGGTTATAGTTTTAGGTTATTGTGCTTTAGGAAGTAGACAGATTTGATAGGTAATTTAATTTGCGAGATGGTTGGATCTAGCCAAATATGACAACTTGGGCCTATTATCCGAGGAAAGTTATGAGGAAGAAATGGACTTCGCCCAGCAGCAGGTAGGCCTAGAAAAAAACTTCCGTAGCAGCGTCTGGTACGCAAACAACATTGCCCGCCTTGAAGGGTTAAAAAAAAGTGGTAGATGTGACCAAATTAAGAGAACATAGATTAAGAGAATAACTTTTAAAATTACCTATTTCTCTGCATAATGATAATACAAAGAAAATAAGGCAAACTTTAACATATTTAAATTTGCAGGCCCTTTAAAAACTTCCTTAAAAACTACATTTTTCAAATCTTTTGTCGCAATCCAGTTGTCTGAATGACTAAATTGATTATATCTTAACTTTCTTACCAGGACGACTGTTGGGGGAGTCACACTCCTCACTAATGGCCTGACGCAGCCATCGCTTCTTGGCGTTGTAGCCTTGCTGCTCTGGCTGTGCTGGCGGAGAACTCTCTGGTGACTTGTTGAGCCACGAGGTCAATATTCCCTATAAAAACAACAGGTGTCACAAAACATTACACAACCTATAAAGAAGTCCACATAAAATTAAGTTTGTTACATTTTACAGTTGTTTTAAACCAATAAGTATGCAATATAGTTAAAGATTAATAATGCATAATTTTATGGCTAAGTTTTTTTAAGTTGTAGGCTAATAATCTGCAAAAGAAAACTTTAAATATCACTGGTAGCAGTTTTGAAAACAACTTGTATCAAAGATGATCAGCCACAATACATCAGGCATCTAATAAACATTATTTGCATGTTATAGAAGTGATTACCTTCTTAGTCTTGGGGAACTTGAAGCCTGGAGCGAGTGGTCCTACGGCTGCCGCTATCAACATCGCTGTCTTGGACATGGGTGTTGGCGGAGTGTCCCCAGCACCACTGCTAGGACTGGTGTGTGGCGGTGGACTCTCGTAGCTCTGTACAACAATTGATCTTAGAATCTTGTTTTGTAAAGCATGTGGATTAATAGATCTTCATCAAAAATTGAAGCAGTAGCTTACTGCGACTAAACGTTAGTGGTTACGGATAAATGTTATTTAACCCTTCACAAACTAATTGTTATTCTCTTATTAACCATTTTTATGATCTTAGGTTTTTTACCTAAGTCTACAGCTGTAAATATTGTTTGGGACAATGTTTTGTTTTACCAATTATAGTGATGGTTGAATACAGTAATTTCGAATCTCGAATCGGAATCCTAAAAAAAAACTAATATTGAATCTCGAGTCCCAAAAATAATTACAAATGGCCTTATGGTGATTAAAAAAGCAAGAATGGAATAGGAACCATTTAAAAACAAATATTACACTAACCATAAATGACTACTCTTTGCAATGAAAAGTTACGTAATGACTTATGACACAAAGCAAAAATAACAGACGACTGATCGGTTACATCTTTTTAACCTATTAATCTAAATCAAACAGTCGGTCGGTATACTTTATTTGGAAGGCAAATATTCATTATTTTGGTTATTTACGGTTGTTGTAGGTACACTTGTTAATTTTAAATTCATTGATCAATAGTATACATAAAATGTCATAAAATGGCTATGTCACAGCACTGTATACTACCTACGTCAATAACCTCTGTGGTTAGTCAATGTCACAGTAAATGCCTTAAATGTCTTAATTCTATTCTAAAATAAAATAAAAACAAATTTGGATTTTAGGATTTGGAGGATTTGACACATCCCTAACCAGTTATTTATACAGAATAAGTAAATTAAGTACCTCGATGATTTAAAGAATAGATGTTGGTAATATATTGTTTGTTAATTAATATTATCCATGACTCTTGATTAATATCATGTTGATTAATATTTTTAATCAACTTCAAAATAAAATTCAGCTAGCCAAAATACTTTCTGGGAAATAGGTTCTGTTCTTACCAAGTTTTGATTATGATAATATTTTAAAAGTAGTCAAGTGACCAAGAAATATCACAACGGGTTAAGCTTTCCTATACATTAGTTTGCCTATGCCAACCTCTAGTTACAAGTTGAGATATTGCTAGGTGAGACCCACTACTGACCTTCTTGTAGTCTGTGGCAGTACTAGTCGTATTGTTCTGAGTGGGAGTGGTGGGGGGAGTGTGGCGTCGTGCAGGGGGAGGGGTGGGGGTACGGTTCGGCCGCTGTCTCAAAGGTGACTCGTCATCAGAGGACTCAGCAGAGTCAGGAGATCGCTCCCGCGTTGGCTGGCTACGACGTAGCGTCCGGCGTGGCCTTAATACTGGCTGTGGAGTGCTTTGAGATCTGCCGCGCCCTTTCCGCTTTGTCACTGTGAATCTGCCAACATCACATTACAGTTAGTTACTTTACGGTTTAAGGAATATTTTTAATATATTTATACTTTTTATACTTATATATTATATAATATATATTTTATTTTGGAATATTATTTAATATATTTATCAGTCTGGATGAATGACAAGTTGTTGCTATAAAGGATAAATTAATTACTTATAAAGCTTGGAACAATTTGAATTGGATATGTTTATCCATGCTTACATAAACAAAGAAAGCTAGATGTTTGCTATAACAATTCAGATGCTAATAATAATACTAACTCCTGTCCCTACTTGAAAAGTATTCCCTTCTTAAGTAATGAAATTTATATACAAAAAAATAAACTCTTTTCCTTAAATTGATTCTAGTTTTTAAAACAGATAAGAAGTTCAAACTTCTCTGCATTGTAATGTAATTGTAATGAAAAGTTCAATATTTGGAATTCATTCAATACTTCTTTTAGACAGTATACTAGTCAAAGCCATACTCACTTCCTCTTGCGTTGACTATTCTTAGAGCTGGAATTGTTGTCCTCCTTGTCACTTGATTTATCCTTTTCCTTATTCTCCTTTTCCTTGGTCTCAGTCAGATGAGGTTTAAAATCTGTTTCAGTAGAATCTTTGCGATGAGTCTGCCTGGCCTGAGCTTCTTGTTTACGGGCTTGGTCTTTCTCCATACGTTCAAAAGCTTTCATTATTGCTTCCATCTTCCTTTCTTCTCTCGTCTAAAACCATCAAAAGTTCTAAATATTTATAAAATAATTTTACCCTACTAAAAATAACATCACCACTTATGTTTTATCTCAGCAAAAGCCGTGATCGCTGCAGTATTCAAAAAATCTCAGACGTTATTTCATTGTCACCCTCGCTTATGAAAACTTTGACATAGTTTTCCCTGATCACGGCCAAATCTCGACTATCTCTTGCGTTTATGTAGATATGATCATTGGCTCCCGTGGTCACAGAAACAACTTCTTTCGCAATTGCGGTGAGCGGTGACATTCGGACCTCAGTGCCCTCGCACTGCCCCGGGGGTGTTACTTACACCATTGATTCTAGGGATGATAGGTATCATCTGAACAAAATATAATCACATATAATCAAGAACAATTATCAAGAAATGTAAAATGTTTTCCATGTAGCCTCCTGAATACCAAAAAACGTATTTTAACTTACTTATTTTAATATAAAATCCTAGCATATTTTCACCAGAAGTCTAACCATGTAAAATATAATAAAAGTAAAATGAAGGATAAAAATAAAGAGCAACTTTAGCTTACCATTTTATTCTTCTTATCCGCAGCCTCCTTTTTGCTCAGTTTGGTCCCTTCTTTTACCACTTCCTCCTTCTGGGGCTCTTCCTTCTTCTTGGGAGTGGTGGGAGCGGGAGGTGGTTTGCGAGCTGCGTTGTTGGCAGCACTGCGTGTGGTGGGTGCGGGTGGGGGAGGGGAAGGAGCAGCAGGAGGGGAGGGTGGAGGGGTGGGAGCTTTTACGGGTTTCTCCACTTCAGGCTCAGGTGGAGGGGGAGGTGTCGGCACCCGTGGCGGGGGTGTAGGCACTCGCACCGATGGGACCACCTTGGGTGTTGGCTTGGGAGTCGGAGACACTTTAGAAGCAGCTTGAGCCTTGGAAGGTTGCGGTTTCGGTGTTGGTTTTGGTGAAGCTTTTGGCGGAGATAGGTTTTCAGACACTGTTCGTCTTCTACCACGCCTGCGTTTGTCTGAGATTCTGAAATAAGATCATGTTTGGTGAATAGGAGTAAATATATATTTTCATCTTGTAAAATTGTAATATGTTTTTTTATATATTTTGTGTTCATTACTTACATTTCAGGCATTTTTTTAATTTTTAGAAGTAGACCTAGAGTAATTATGTAACGCTACAGGTAGCAGCAGGAGTGACAATTTCAGTAACGGCCTGATAAGACTGTACTCTTTGTTTATATTGATAAGATAAGTTTTTGTGTACACTGACCACAAATACTGGACAAAGTGGTCAGTCAATTTCCGAGTTGTTTTATGTTTTGCTAATTGTTTGTTTTTGAGGAAATAAAATTAATTATTCATTCATATATTATCCATAATAAAAAATCAATAATCGAAACTACTCTTATACCAGTATGATGGGTTACAACTTAGTTTAAAGCAATTAAAATGTGAGTTGTGATTTTGTTTAGTGGTTGAAACCAATCTGATATAATATGGCAGTGCATCATTTAAAGAATAGTCTAGGCTACTAACCTTTATCAAAATTAATGCTCTTAAAGTTACAGAGCCCAAGTCATGTTGTATTGCGTTTAGCAACTCTAAATAGTTTTACACATAAAAAAAACATTGCACTGGGTAAAAAAGTTAATCTATTTGCTAATATGGGTGTAGACGTACACAGAGTTTTTGTAGCAAAGTTGAAATAAATGGAACCCTACACATATTATGTATAAATATTACTTCAGATGTACTGCAAAATTGCTTGGCCTACAAATGATTCCATGGCTTTAGTTATTTTTTGTAGTTGTAGCCTAGTTAATTTTTCATTAATTAGTTCATTTGACCTACTTACTGAGTATTGACATTGTTGTTGTTATTGTTTGGAGAGATCAGCCCGTTAAGGATCTTATGATTGTCAGTGGAGGTGAGAGGCACAGCCGCTGGGCAGGGGTTGTCCAAACAAGATGCACACACAAGCCCCGGACCCATGGCAAGAGTTATTTCTGTGTTTTTATCCATTGCTTTTGTCGTCACCAGGTATAAATGAAGAACTCCTTTTTCGATACAATGTCTTACCTAAAAAAACACCCATACTTTCAAAATTGTGATCTTAATACTGAAGGCTTACAAAGGTGGATGTTCATAATAAATAATAATGATGCATAATTATAGTAATTAATCATGAGTTGTTGTCCATTAGAGTCCAGAGGTCAATAGATTGTAAAAAAGTCGAAGAAAACACTGGACAGGGTGTCCACAGAAAATTTGTAATTAATTCCCATGACTTTACATGACTATCCATGACCATTTACCATTGATTTCCATGACTCATAAACATTACTCAAAAATTATAATGTAACATGGAAACATGCACACACAAATAATACTGCCTAGACAAATTTCACAGAAAATACTGAAATATATGCATTAACAGATAACAATGGAGTAATAAATTTAGTAAAAATGTGGTATTCAAAATAAGGTAGGAAAAGAGAAAACCCAGCCTAATCTGTTCCCATAACTGGCCAAGTCTCTCTTAACTTTCTTTTATCCTTCCCATATACTTTTTATAATTGATTTTTTATTGAGTTTACAGCGTTTACAAAATTTAGCTCAACTTAGAAAAGACAATTAAGTCAACTCAAAACATTATAACAATATTTGTATTGCAGTTTGAGTTGTAATAATAAAGTTGTAAAATGTTTATATACACTAACAATATCCAACAAATATTAAATTTAATTATAAGATAAGGTAGGGAAAGCTAAAAACACACATATTCTATCTATCTAATTAACAGAAAAGGTTTTATGACATTTTTCTTAAGATTTAACACTCATTTTCAAAAAAAAATCTGGAACAAATCAAATACGGAATCTTGGGGAAAATAGATCAAGAAGAAGAAAATCAAGTCAAATTTCCACCAATACATTAAAAAAAAATAAATACATTAAGTAATCCTTGGTTGCTGTAATAACTATAGTTTCGGTTCTTGGACACTGGACAGAACCACTTTTAGGCTTATGAGTCAAATCAATCACCTTAATTTGAAGATTGTTAGTAGAATACATTAAAAACAAACACACGCAAAAACAAAGGAAGACTTAGTGCAAGTATTAAAACCATTTTCTATAAGATAATAATTCGGAGGATATGCTGTACAACTTTTTAGAAAATGAAATAAAACCAATTCCCTAATAAACAATCAGAATCGCAAACACTGACCTCAGCATTGGGTTTGCAAGAGCGTCGTACAAAGCGAGCGTCGTTGCCATAGGTCCTAGCGTCAACGCAGACCTCTGTGTTATCTCGAGGTAACTTGTAGTGGAAGATGTACGGTCCTGGTGGTGGAACAGGGGGACGAAGGGGACGGTTGGCTCCCCCACCACACAACATGTACTTGCCCCTAAGCTCCACTAAAGGCTGGTTACTGGATAGTGCCACAGTCGCCACTAGGATCTGGACAAACACAGCAAACTTATTTAGTAGTTTAATGTTTATTATGATGTATAGCCTATTATTTATAGAACCAATAGGTTTAGTATTGGTCAGATTTATAAGTTTTCAAGAGATTGGCAGCTTCTTTTAGTTTTGCATTTGCCTATCAAAGTGGTATGAAAACAAAAGGTGGGTTGATAAAGTAAGAGAATAAATTGTACTAAAGACTCTGAGATGTTTTCCAGTAGGTAGGATTGTAGACAAGATCCAGGAATAAAAGGAAGTAAATTAGTTTTACCATCTGAAATTATCTGTTCCAGCATGGGGCTATCTAATGCATGAAAAATGAAAATGTAAATAGTTGATCACTTTCCCTTAAAAGTATGACGTATATTGTTAAAGGACAAAACAAAAAACAAAAATGTAAACTTTGGAAAACAATGAACCAGTTACATTTGTACCTTAACTCCAGAGGGGAGGAGTGAGATGCGGTACTTGGGTGTAGTCAACAGATTTGTGGGCAGCTTCAGGTCAGAATGTACTCCGTTGACCTTAATGGCAGCTACCCTGGCGCGTAGTTCAGGTGAGTAGTGGTTGGTGACGGCTTCCTCATAACTGTCTATCCACTGCCGCAGCTGCTCAACCGGAGTGACAGGGGTCGGTGGCTTCTTCTCAACCGGAGAACTCTTCTCAGCGGCCGGAGGATTGTTATTCACAGAAGGCTGGGAACTCTGCGTAATAGAATTTAAAAGTAGCAAGATTTGTCCGGGGATAGATTTGATTGAAAATGTTTGGTTTGTTACAATATCACATATGTATACATTATATTGAACCAGCAATTGGGAACCCACAAGCCTAGTTAGATATTTTATCTCAAATATTAATCAACTTTTCTTGTACCAAATATTCTAAAATACACTCCCAAAAAAGGCAAAGGATGAGACTGTTGTATGGAACTAAGTAGATATAATAATACATAATCCTTCTTTATAACTTACAAACCTGTATTCAAGTTTTCTTAGTAAATTGTATTTAATTTCACAGTGTTGTCGAGAAATATTATTAAAATAGATGCAGCCCTACAGTCAAGGATCGTGACACTTCTATTTTAGCAGATGCTTCAGTTTATTTTTTATTTTTAGTAAAAATTAGACATACCTTCCTTCTTAATGGTGGCCTCTTTTCTGTTTGCTTCTTACGGAAAACCTGTCTGTTATTCTGGCGATTTGAGTCCTTGTTGGATTCACGTCGCTGCTTGCCACCCGTTGTAATATTCTTGCGCTGAGCCGGTTTCCGGTTGTTAGCTGGTGCTCCTGGTTTACGCGGTGGAACATCTATGGAAATTGTCTAAGCTAGAGTTTTATGTTTATTAAACAGCAGAAAAACATTATACAAGTTTATATTACATTAAATGTTTGATTATTAAATCAGTTTGAAAGTTCCACCACAAATTATAGATTAAACTAAAAACTATTACAGAATTCCAAGGTTCAAAAGAGAAAATTTGAGACATAACATTTGTGATCAAGGAAGTACAATATACTGACTTGTATCAGAACCTGAGGAAGTGTCACTGGAAGAGTCGGATGTGTCCAGAAGCTCCTTCTTCTTCCTCATCTGCAGTGCTATGGCTTTCTGCTTGTCTATACGGCGAGGTTGGCATTTCTCACACATGTATTCTTCTGGGATATTGGCTCTGTCAATCCCCATACAATCCACATGCTGCCAAACCCTGAGAGAAACATGGACTTTTATACAAGACAAACAGGTGCTAGTTAGATTCACAGTTAATTTAACAAAAATTAAGTGTTATCAGAGAACAGACCATGATAGCCTACTGCAGACTACAGTTAGCACGTTGAGTGCGGTAGCCCAATGGCCGGTGGCTAATGTGCTGCGTAGTTGAAGTGCACGAAAACATTTAAATTTAGTTTTACAAATGAGAGGCATATTGAAGCTTGTACTGCGTTCTCCCCGAGCGAGGCTGAGCTCTCACTGGATCAATACTTGAGAGTTATGTATGCTACATAGTTTAACGTAGTCCGCCGCACGTGCTAGTCCCGTGCTATGTTAAAACAATGTAGGACGCACTCAACGTCTTAATTATTTTCATTAATAAACTTGAATTTTTTTCATTAATAATAATTGATGGAATCAATTGACAGGGTGTCCACCAGGCCAACAAAAAAAATCATGAGTAATTCCAGGTAGTTCAGGTTGTAATTTTCATACTAAATTTCCCAAAGCGTTTTTGCACCAACTCCCGCAATGCTGTTTTAGCGCTAACAAAGTTCGCTATTTTAGTTATCGGAAAAAGCATTCTCAATTTATAATTGCACAGTTTCTTTAACTGAATCAGAAAACTCAGTTTAAGCATTTATGATTACTGTAATATTGCCTGACAGCAGTATGCAATATTTATATATGACTGATTAAATAATCAGAAAATTAAAAACTAATACTTAAACCTGAATTTATCAATAACTTTTTTTAAATAGTGATATGTCAATAACAAAATTAATCGAATCTCCGTAAGACACCTGAAAAATAGATTTGAATAAGTACTGAAAATTTAATTTTTACCAAACTTTCTGTAAGGATTACTACACCAACCAGTCTTTATGTACTTACATATAGAATGGAATTTTGGAGTTTGGATTGTTTTTCAAGTGGCCTACAGAAGTAATTAATGCAGAAATTACAAAAATTTCACATAGCCAATTTAGGTTATAAACCCTTCTAAGCACTTTTAATATAAATACCACGTTAAAGGTAAATACAGTAGACTCCCTCTAGTTCGGCTTCGGTTGGATCGGCCGCCGGATGGTCCGGCCTGGTCTCAGGGGGACAAGTCACATCGTCACGGGGGAATTGCCTTCGACAGGATTTAACTTGAATGTTTAGTTTCCGGCCAGAGAAGTAAACAATTCATGTCAGTTTAGTTGACGGGTACTTCTATGGGTGAATTGTTGCATATTACCTATGTAAAACTATGTTACATAACCTCAAAAATACCGAGAACATTTTATAAATAGTTTCTCTTCGGTCTAATAAGTTGAAATGCAGAGTATAATTAAATATTTCGGACTATTTTTTTATGCGGTAGGTTCTCCCATTATTATTTTTGAAACACCACAGTTTATTTGACAAAAATAAATTAAAGCAAAACAAAGAAATAGCCATCGTTAGCTTCAAGGTCAAGCTATCCGCTTGCACTGACAATCATCTGTTCTTTACACAACTGATGTCTGCTGTGCACTTTTTTGCTATCTCACAAACAGTTTGTGATTGGGTGATTAGTAACCATTTTTTTCTGTTCTTTACGTGATTTATTGTTGTACGTTCAGTGTTGTGTAATTTTTGTTTTGCTTGAGTAAGCGTGATTTTAACGTTACAGTTTTTATTACTGAACCAAGGTTATTGACTTAACATATCACGATTGCGCAATACTATGATTTGTATTTTGATGATGTAAAATGCACTACATCCGGTTAGTCCGGCCGTTTTGTAGTTCGGCCAGTGGTCCAGTCCCGAGGTGGTCGAACTAGAGGGAGTCTACTGTAAAGATATTACAAAAAATATATTTTTTTAAACTTTCTAGAAGTGTGCCATTTTGAAATTTTTGGTCAAGCCGAACTCGAGGTTATATAGTGATCATCTACCACTGTCATAGAGACAACATCATCGTTTTCCGCAATAACTGAAAAAAAACTGAATATCACTCAGTAATGGAAACATCACCACTGTCTTCTGTGGTCGTCACAAAATCCTGATATTGTTCAGCGGTAACGGAAACATTATAATCGTCGCCTGGGATCACAGAAAAGTTCATCAATTATTCTTCTAACAAATCACGTGGCCGTTTGGACATCATCAATGTCTCCAGCGGTCATGGAAACCATCGCCGTCCCCGCGGTCACAAAAACACCATTGTTGCCATGCGCGATCGTGGCAAAATCACTAAAAATCACGCAGCCATTTGGAGTTTGTACATCATCATCGTCTCCCATGGTCATGGAGACGTCATCGTCGTCATGCACAATCGCGGCAAAATCACTAAAAACTCCCATGGCAGTTTGGACATCATTGGCCAGGGACACACTTACCGGCAAAACCGCCGGATGTCGGTTCCGACGGAACCGTCAGATGTTGAATTTCAGAACACACTGTCCCGGTGAAAACTATTTTGACGGAGCCGGCGACAATAAATAGAATGCAATGAACTTTGAATCAGTCAGTCGTGTCTTAGAAATGGTGCTGTCAATACCTAAAAAGTTGGCCATGCTGTGTTTGCTCCACCACAGAAGAAAGAGGAATCACCGCCGAAGTATTTGGTTCATCCGATTCTAGAGAACAGACAGCTACATGGAACATTTTATACTCTATTTCTACAGTTGAGGAATGAGGATAATAATTTTTTGTAATTATTTTCAAACGTTTGTTCCCACTACTATTGAATACAAGGACAAGATACGTATATGCGCGATCGCGCCAAAATCACTGAAAAATCCGACGGCCGTTTGGAGATCATCATAGTCTCCCGTGGTCACGGAAATGTCAATGTCGTCTCCCGTGGTCACGGAAACTTAACTGTCGTCTCCCGCGGTCGGAAACGTCATCGTCGTCTTCCGCGGTCGGAAACGTCATCGTCGTCTTCCGCGGTCGGAAACGTCATCGTCGTCTTCCGCAGTCAGAAACGTCATCGTCGTCTCCCACGATCCCGGAAACGGCATCGTCGTCTCCCGTGGTCACAGTAACCTCATTTACATGCACGATTGCGGAAAAATTGAAAATTCCCAGTAAAATACAAAATGCACACATAATTCCCGGTTTTTCAGGTGGGTGGACACCCTGATTGAGAAATTACACATTTGTATAAGAAAAAAACCTTGTATTTTAACATTTGTATTGATAGTACAAAAGGAAATAAGATACACATGTCAGTAATTATCATTAAACTTTAAAAAGTGAACACCCTTCAGTGTCACCAAAAGTATTGACGAATTTAAAGTGTAAGCAAATTCATGGATTCATTAAATACAAAGTAATCAGTTTATTTTATACAGTATTAATACATTTCAAAACATGATTAAAATAAAAATTGAAATTACTTACGAACACTTGTCGCAGCATATCATATAGCCATCATCATGCTGGAAATCACTGAAAACATCAAAACTCAGGTTAGTATTTTTAAACATATTGGTAGGGATGGTAAAAACACATACAGTAGAACTCCAATTATCCAAACTCCATTTATCCAAACTCCATTTATCCAAACTCCAATTAACCGAATCACTGATTATCCGAATCGCTTACTTCAAAAATTTTAAAAACGTAAAGCTACAATAATAAGTTTTACAAAATATCAAAGAATTGTTATTAAACACATTTAGCCAGTGTGTAATTTTGGACTTTGATGGAACACTATTAACTTCCCTATTGATTTTGATAATCAGAGTTCTACTGTTCTACTGGAAGAAGAATATTCCATATTAATATCTTGTGGATGCCCAAATAAGAGTTCAAAGATAAAATGACCAAATAAAATACATTGTTGAGAGGCAATGAAGAAGACCCATAGAACCGGAAGAAGTAAAGCCAGTTGGTCAGAGGTATGACGGATAGCATAGACAAAAAGAATGAAATATAGACTGTCAGCCGTGCTGCGGTTGCCATGGTTACCATAGGTTCCGGTGCACACCGCTGTAGTTTACGTAGCGCGTACGCCATAACTACGGTGGTGCTCCAAGCGGTGTGCGCCAGAACCTATGGTAACCGCAGCACAGCTGACGGTCTATCACCAGAATTATTTTATATATCTTGGGATTATATTTCAAAAGTAAAAGACCTGGTAAATGGATTTCACAATTCATATACCAGTGTCAGAACATTGGCATTTAGTAGACAGAATTATTGATCACATGTAGCCTACTCAAATCAATCAAACCATTGAACTCGTAGACTCAGCAATTGTAACTTGGAGAGATTGAGGTTTTAGTTGAAAGAAAGGAACTCACTTGGCCCCAGATTGTCTCAGGGGACACTTCCCCTGTGGCTGGAGTTCGGGTAAGGCAACTTTTTTTATTAATATTTATAATATAACATTTTTGATTGTCCAGCTTAGTTAACATTTTCAAGTCGTTGATTGATTGGTATCCTAATCATTTCTTATCATAAATAATTTCATTTATCATTTCTATTAAATAAAAATAGTTACTATTAAATTCCTGTTTTGTTATTAGAACGTGTAAACAAGAATTTGTTTTACCTCTCACCAAAGTATTTTTATTATTTAACACGATCCCAGTTACGCCCCCGGTCACCCAAAATTAACCGTGACAGTGGCCATGTTTTGGGTAGGTCTGGTTATTTGGTTTTTCATTTTACTTACCAAATACATCTAGTGACACTGTCGTCTTCGTTGTCCTCGCCCTCAGGGGCAGTTTCAGTTTCCTCGCCTTGGGGATCGACCTCCCTTTCTCCATCTGTACTCTCCACATCACTCTCCTCGGCTGGAGTGACTCCTCGCACCGGACCACGTGTGCCGATGCCAAACACGTTGGACATGGTAGCTGAAACACATGGCAGCAATTCTTAGATAAAATATTCATGATTATACTAGAATTATAGGGCTAGATCTAACAAGATTCAATCAGTTCATAGTAAGGACACTTGTGAAACATTTTCCCTCACTTCATTTAATTGATCACCAAAGTTCTCTCTCTCTCCCTATCTAGTCAATCAAAAATATAGTATTAGCAAAATCGAAATGCCAATGGAGGCCAGGTAGATTCACTCACACACACGCAGACCGCACCACACAGGCACCTAGGGGATTAGAACCGGCCGTGTTTCTGCCCCGTTAAATATTCTTTTGTACTTCACCAATCAAAATAAAACTAAATTTTTATTTGTTATTTTATTTAGACTTCTTCATCATTTTTGAACTCTTTCTTTATAAAAACCCCCGCCCCAGCAAACCTGCAGACTTAGCAAATTTCCATTTGCCTCATTGGATTACACTAAAATGTTTCCTTAAATATATCACATTTATTCCCTATTTAAATAGTATTAGTTTAACGAGTACTTAGGTTTGCAGCAACAGGGAGGGTAAAAAAGTGTTTTTAATGTAAAATGTTAATAGGTAGGCCTACTGTAGTTTAGTAAGAAATTAATGTATTTTCCAAATTTGATCAAAATATGTTCATAAATAAGCAAACTACAACAGTTGACTTATTCTCCATAAGAATAACATGGGAATTTTAAAATTAAAATTTTTTGAATTTTCTCCGTAACCCTTAGGCGCATAATAACGCATCAATATACTAAATTATTTGTTTCTTTAAGCTCTACATAATTATTTGGAAAGTAATTGTGAAATTTTGTGTTTTAAGGGTCAAAAATGGGAAAAACCTATTTTTACCCCATGAAACCCCGTTCCCATAGTCCGATCATGCTGGTTCGCGAACTCATTCAAGTTTATCTTGCTTTACACCTTTAAACCAAATTTCATCAAAATCGGACAAAAATTACTCAAGTTATCGCGTTCACGGACACACACACATATATATATATATATAAATCTATATATTTATATACATATATAAATCTATATATTTATATACATAATATAAATCTATATATTTATATACATATATAAAAATTTTAACGAATGGTGTTTTTGGCCTTTGGGAACATCAAAATGAAAAAGTAAATCGGTCCCAGGTCTAGGTCTTACCATGCCACCTACGGTAATAGCTTACTTCCCTATAGGGAAATTTGCTAAAAGAATAATGATACCAAACAACATATTGTTAACTGTATATTTAACATTCATGTATTAATAATAAACAGTTCATTACAACAACTTTAAGCCGGCCGTTTAACATGGTACAAACACACAATTGTTTGTATTATGATAACTAACAATCCAGTTCAAGTATTTTCGCAAATAATGATTATTTATTACATTTCCGCTTTTAATTGGAAGATTCGATGATGCGTGACTAATGGGATTTAAATGCCAGGCCACCCCAGCTATTCATTGGCCAAGCAACTTACCCTGCCCTTTGCGCCCGTGAGTGTGCGTGCGTGTGATGGGACTTGACCTGGCCTACATCGGCATTCCGAATTTGCTAATACTATAAGAGTACATAAAGCAACTTACTGCTGCCGAAGGTGGTGGAAGCAGGTGGTATGGTAGGTAGCACATTCTTGGGTTGGCGGTTGGCTGCAAAGGTGTTGGCTGCGTAGTGAGTATTGTTGGGAGGCTGTTGGCTGATGGGAGGCTGGCTGCGTGTCAAGCCGTTGGTTGTTGCCACTCCATTGACCAACGGCTTTGGCGGAGAGTTGGGAGTGGGGGGTGGAGGTGCTCCATAGTTGTGATCTTGCAGGACGTACTATAGACAAAACATAAATTTATATAGTTTTCCAATAAGCGATAACATAGGAGATAGAATTTACAGTTGAGAGTTAAATAATTGTACTCTTCACCAGCAGGTAAGTCCCATGCAGAAACGTTGTGTCAATCACTATCACAATATTTTTATCATAACAATAGTTTTTAAACCTCAACAATAAAAACTAGCATTGCAAATTTAGGTGATTTACGTTCAAGCAATACAAGGAACATATTAACCAGTGATACCAGATCCTGAATATAGGCCTACATCTTAACTACAGCAATGATAGTTTATTAAACAAACTAAACCCCAAACAATTCTATGTTAAGTATTTCTTATAACCAGAGAATGAGAAATCGTTAAATATACTCTTATACAAATCAATAAGTTTAAAACAAAAAAGACTTTACCTGATAATTTAACGGAAGATGTTTATGGTATTTTGGCCTCTTCTCCACAACACCTTCCAGAAGATCATCATCCAAAGTAGAATCCTTGACAGGGCTGGCAAGTACTCGGCCAGCGATGGTGGGTGAGGGGGCAGACTGAGACACAGGGGGCGTCGCATGGTTGTTGTTGATTGGACGAGCCAGCGCTGCAATGTTGCGAGCAGGTAAAGCAGTATGCTGCAGGGACCGGTTCACCTGCTGCGGCTGCCGATTGATCTGCATGGGTAGTCGATGCTTGGCCACGCTCGGAGGCTGCTGGCCCGCAGAAGCTACCTGGGCACGCAAGTTGACGGAGCGGTTGCTGGTGTTGCTGGAGCTCACTACAGCTGTGGTCAGGGTTGGAGTGTACCTAGACATAAGAGTAACATTAAACATCAAGTAACAGACAAAAATATCATCAATTTGTTTTGAATCAACTCTTGTCTAGGCAACATCCACTCAAGAGTACAAGCAGTTTTTAGGCAACAAACTCACAAACAACAGAACAAACTCGTACAGACCATAACACAAAGTCTTCTGTACAGCATACTGGACCTTACATTTTGTGCGCAAAATATGAGGTCATGAAAAAAGTGAAGGTTATGATAATGATTTATTTTACTTGACACTATTGTAATTCTTAACGAATTAACAATAAAGAATATTGTATTGTATTGTATTGTACTTTACCAAGCATTGAGGAATAGGACCATTCAAAATAGTGTTTACAATTCAATGAAACTGAAATGATATCAGTAAAAAAAGTATACAAGCCTACCCTAAAAAAAAAGAACCTACCCTTAGAAAACCAAACACAATAACACTTTTTCTGACCCTTAGAATGAAATTTATGATTGAAAATGGAAACAAAAACGAATGTTCTTCACGACAAAACCAGTAGCAAATATTCTCAGAGCAAATATCCACTTTCCAAAAGAAAATCCCTTCTCGTTGCGGCATGACACCATGCTTACCCGACATTGGTGGTGCCGAGCTGAACTATGAGGCTCATGCCTTCATCTGATTGCTGGTTGCTTTTGACAGGGATAGAGAGCGGATTTGCGGGGGCATTGCCACCACAGGGGATGATGGTCGCCGAAGTCGCAACAAGGCGGGGGACCATGCGGGTTTGGTGTGGGGGGGCACCATCTGATCCCCCCCCACCCCCCGCTAACTTGATCACTGATGGGACCGACGTGGTGACGTCTACACTGCAGACTTAGGTCACCGGCTATGGGCTCAGCCAGTTCACTCTGAAACACCAACCCAGGGTGTAACACATGGAACCTGAAGAAGTGGGTGAGGAGGGGTGGATGTAGTGAAATTTGAACAGGAGGTACCAGAGGTTTGTTAACCGTAAATGAAACCCATAGTCAATCAATATTACAGTACCACACTTGAATGTAAGACAAGAGCAGATGAATTGAGAAAATGGGTGTAAGAAAACAGAATATTTTGAGTGGGAAGTCAGATCACATAAAAACAAATCAATTTATGTAAAAAAAAAGAAAAAATAAATTGTAAGGTGTTGGGAATCAGGATTTGATCAGGAGTAAATGTCGGGAACAAACATCTTTTTAATATTGAAAAAGTATGATAGGCCCTAGGTCTAGTTGGATAGGTGCAGTAAGACCAAGATATAAACAATTGCATTTTTAGCAAACAAAAGTCATGATGAACTATAAAAAAAATAAACCAAAAAAATTTTTGGGTGACAGCAGACAATGGAGGAAGCCGGGGCCTGCATTAGCAACATTTAATGTCAAGTTCATTCCAGGTCACGCTCAAGGGGAAAAGGTTTCATATATTGTATACTCCAAATAAACATTGCCAACATTTTACACTAGGCCTACCACTTTGCTTAAAGTTTTTCGAAGTAAAAAGTCTACCTAAATGTAACATAATTAAATATATAGTTGCATTTAAAATGTAAGCTGAATGAGGTTTCCACTTTAAACTAACTTGTGGGCCCTTTTGAAAGGCAGCACAATTAAAGTTGGTAAAGTTTTCAAAACCATCTCTTACAAATATCACATGGATATTTACTCAAGGAAAATTCCCTTCAGGTCAATTTCAGAATGCCCAGAACTATTTGTCAGGCATAGCAGTGAACGTTCAAAATTGGCCAAGCTGTCAGAGAAATCATAGAGGAAGAGGTCAAGAGGGAGGAAGGAACAGGAGAGATGGAGGAACCAGTTTGTAGCGATGGCCAGACTACTTAGCCTACTTACAGCCAACAACACTGCACAGTGCACGCTGCACTGACACTAACCAGGAACTGACTATTAATCTCACAATCTTCAAAGTAAATCACACATTCAAACATTATGCTAGACTTTTGGAACAACTTATTAGGCTATATCACACCACACCACACTTCGCACTTGTACTGTATATTGAGAAAAATAATAAAAATATTGTGTAAAAATATTTTACAGCAGTATACTATGCCAGCAGCCTTATTCAAATAAACTTAAACTGGTGAATGATTATAATTTCTCATTTATTTTATGGTAGTGTACATATCCATGGCCTAAGATTTTGTGCAGCTCAGTAATGATGTGCCATAAGGTTAAATCAAATTTATATCATATTCACAAATAACTTAAATGTTTAATGTTATAGTTTTGTTTTAGCATTACTAAAACTTGTTAGCTTTCTCCCAGTTAATTTTATTATATAGTCTATTTCTATGCAAGTAAAAGTTTGTTAGCACTAATTTTTTGCATCCCTCAAAGTTTCCAGAACTGAAATCCCTTGTTGACACACCTGTATATATAGATACAACAGTTGATTGCTCTCTAGAACCAATCATATTGCTTTTCTTCTTATCATTAATATATTTGTTTATTATAACAGCCTTTCTTTCTTAAATAATTATAAATCTTAGTAAAACAACAATTTTGCAAGTTCATTTTCAGTTACTCCCTCAGTTAATCCCTTTTATTTACCAATGAGATATAAATTATAAATTTATAAATTAAAATATAAATTTTGTTGTCCTCAAGAATTAAACACTTTGAAAAAATATCCAAAAGATTCACTGATTGTTGAATTTTTTTGTGGTAAACCCCCAAAAATACTCCTGAAAATAAATTGTACTAGAGAACCCGTGCGGCTCAATGAGCCGCATAGTATGAAACATAACGCCGAGGTAAACGTTTAATGCTTAAATTCGAGTAATTCTAGTTAAATCTTAGAGTTGTGTAAACACTTGTTAGAAACTAATTTTAAATATCTCTATTTGTGTCGTCAAGGTTCACCTACATTATTTCTGCTCTCAGTTTTAACTGATAACTTCTAATGAATGCTAAACGATCTGCTTCAATTCGAGCTAACATGTTGCAACAAAGTTTTTCCAGCAATGAGAATTTAAGAAAACTGTTGCCTAGACATCCCCCTAATCAAACGATTTTCTCCGTAGAGAATCCTGAAAAGTGGAGTGATATCAACCATTTAATGTGCTCCATTTTTTACCCACAAACTCTGGGTTATCAACTGGAAAGCCATAATCTGCTATTCAACTACTGACTATTTTTTTAAATTTGTGTAGCCTAATTTACTAACTTAAGAAATCACAGGAAACACACTTTTTTATTGAGAGGATATGAACCATGTTATTGAAAAATATATTTAATGGTTCGTAAATGTTTATAAATGCAAATGCATATAATAAATCCCCACTCCCCATTTGTGAGTCTTTTTTTAATACGTAACGTGGTACCAACGTTTATCAACCCCAACGTGTTACGTGTACGTCGGGACAGTCAATACCCACTACGACTGCGGGTGTTTCTGGTTCCAATTCAACGATCGTCAGCATATTATTTTGAACGATGCGCGAGCCGCTACCAAACAATGACATGACACCTCTGTGTGTTCGGTGCAAGCGGTGGAGTGGAGGGAACGGGAAGTGAAGTGGGACGAGGGGCCTCATTGGGTTCCCGCGCCGCCGCGTCGCGTCCCCGCGCATTGATTACGGCCAACTCTAAACTCTACTGCTACAGCTAAAGCCTAGCTAGGCGGTAAACAAAGACTTTCGCAACAGAGCGCGCTAGCGCTCGAGGTGGTGAAATGTGAAACCTCTGTTTGTTGTGATCGAAATAACCGCCAACGCCAAATATTACAGTTTACAGAAACTCCAATACTAATCACCTAACAGGATAACAAGAGGGTATATTTATGTCCAGAATTATATAAGAAGAAAGAAGCTCCGTGTTATTTAAGTGAGTCCGCCAGGTCGCAACATGAGAGCAGGAGAGAGCGTCAAACAGGGAAGGGAAGGGATGGTAGGAAGCGGTGAGAAAATGGCGTCTGGCGACAACAGCGAACAGCGCTCGGGGAACCTTGGTACTGATGATAACTGTGCTCGAAGTGGGTACGGACAAAGTGCGGGTTGGATTTGGGCTCGGAGAGTGTTAACTTGGCAATAAACGTGCGCGTTCCCGTAGGCGAGTGTTTCCCGGTTCTCGTGTTTCAGATATTTCAATAAAGGGATCCATATAAATATTTGAACAGCTTTCGGGTAAATATCCGGACGAATGCGCAAATATAGAGATATTGTTCATATCAAGGATTTTATGTTGTGGACCGCAAATATCTGGTAAACTGCAATTCCATTTCCCAGTCGCATTTGAAAGTAAACTGAGAATAAATATTATTCATGTTATTACTTTTTATTAATCTAACGGGCAGCGAAAATTATTAGGTTTGTGGTACAAAGTAAAATTGTTCAATTTACATACACCATAAAATGTTGTATTATTACGTGTCAAAACGTCACGAAGAGATGCAGGGCAATGGTCTTCATGTCGATGCATCTGACATGAAGATATCATTATATCGGTCGGCGACACACGATAAAATCTGGGGGACGAACTGAAATAATACTACTGCAAACACGCAAACGTCATTTAGGGACTATACTGTGTCGATATTAGAGCAATTTGAAAATAATTAAATTATTTCGTATGTCAATGATAACTACCGCGTTCGCATACAATTCGTAATACTATATAAATATTTTCACCATAGTATCTAAATCGGGAAAAATAAAAACCATTTAAATTTCAAAGAGAGCTAAATCTTTTTTGCTATGAATAGTTTTTGCTCTTAACAGATAGAGCACGCAAATAACCGTATGAATAAAACGGACGTGCAGCACGGCACGGTTAAAAATAATAACACGGGAAAGGGAATGATCGTCCGATGTAAATAAAAACAGTGGCTGGCCCGGCGACTGGCGATTGGCGAACCGCCCGCATCGGGAATGTCGAAACAGAGCGGCAGGCGTACCAACGTCCAACAGCAACCGACACAACAACTCGCAGCGCTGCCAACATTGCGGCGGGAATCTCGCAGTCAGTCTTGTCAAGGCCACTTTCCGACAGCAAATTTGTTGCTTGCAGTTTCGTTCACAAGCGTAGACCACGCAAATAACAACAATATTTCTCTACGTATATTTTATTATTATCGAATAGTGGTATAAAAAGAGTTGTTTTGCGTGACAAATGCCATAAATTTATCAAATGCCACTATCTGACTAACAAAACAACAGTGAAGGGGCCCTTTCCCGTAAAAAAATCATCGCCACGAGTTTAAATTAAACCGCGTTTAAAACTAGTGAAACGACAAAGTGTTATCAATGAATGGTCGGGCTATTTGTCTTATCAGCTGAGCGGCCATCCTGTCCAATTAGAGCCAACTGCAACTACCACTAAGTTTTGAGCATAAAAACACAAATTTCCAATGTGTAAAACCTTTGACTATGGTAAAACCAAAGGTAAACTATTGGATACGTAAAACGCTGAGAAGAAAAACAGACATGCAAATTAAACTCATTTTACACCTATTAGCCTACTATGTAAGTTATAAAAAAATTTTGTCAGAAAAAAACCGAAATATTTATAAAAGGTTTTCATTGAATTTATTGACTTGGCCCAATAAAAAAACAATTTTAAATTTGTTCTTTTGACTGTTTACCTCAACAATTTGGTTACACTACAATGTTCGTTTTAACCCAAATTCAATCCCTTTGTTGGCGCCATTTTCGACGGGCCGAGTTGCCATGACAACTCTGCCACCCCCGTGACGTCACAGTATCGACCACCGACAGGGTGGTTTGTGGGAGGAGAGGGGAAGTGCCGAGGTCAATATCACTTCAAGATGGACACCGCGCAATCGATCTCGAATACCTCTCACTTACGTGACGCTTTTTGCTACTTTTTTCTAACCTCGTCTTATCAATCCAATG